CTCTCTACAGAGGCAGGGTGGATTTCCCTCGGCGTTTGGGACCAGCTGTCGGGCAGTGGGGTGGGGATGGGACGAGGGGAGGGAGCCTCAGTTTACTTGGTCTGGTCTGTCGCACAGAGGAGGAGAAGGCCGAGGCGCGTGCATTTGAGGAGGACCAGGTGGCAGGGCGCCTGAAGGAGGACGTGGTGAGTGGGGAGGGCAGTGGGGGGTGTCCGTGGCTGGCCCTGCTCCCTGGACCTCACCTTTCTTCTCTGTGCGCAGCTGGAGCAGAGGGGCAGGCTGCAGAAGTCAGTGGCAAAGGAGGTGAGTGCACACGGCCCCTGCGCATAAGGTTGGAAGAAATTGGGGGCTCTACTGGGCTTGGTGGGCACGAGGTCCCCTGGGAACTCAGGCGGCAGTGGGATTTTGCCCCGGACCATTGTGGACAGACAGGGTCAGGGAAGGGTCTGGTCTTTGCAGCCCTGGGTCCTGTTTTCCTTTTGCCCAAGGTTGTAGGGCAAGGTTGGCATGGGGCAGGGAGTGGTGGTGCCTTTGTGCCGCCACCCGCAGTGACCCAGCCCTACCCGCCCAGGTCCAGGCCCCAGCCCCAGCCGACATTCGGGTTTTGCGGGGCCACCAGCTCTCCATCACCTGCTTGGTCATTACCCCTGATGACTCGGCCATCTTCTCCGCTGCCAAAGACTGCACCATCATTAAGTGTGAGTGCCTGCCTGGGGCGGGGGTGCAGCCCGGGGGCCACCAGGCGGGCTGGTGTGGGGAGAGGGAGTAGTCCTGGCAAACGGAGCCCTGACGGAGGAGCCTCTGGAAGCGGGCTTGCACTCACGGTGGAAGCTTCCACCCAGCCTGGGGCTTAGGAGCGGTCAGTGCCCACGGGCCAGTGAGCAGAGGCAGGGCCACGACCCACTGGGAATTGGCAGTGCAAGTGGGAGATTGGGCTGGAAGACTCGGGGGCTCTGTGGAGTCCTGGGATGGAGTCCCTGGAGCTCCCTTCTCTGTGGGCTTCCTGGCTGCCCTTTGGGTGGGCTGAGTGTCCCCACTTAAGAAGAGGAGGGGAACTTGTCCAGAGACCGCAGTGGCTGAACCAGCTCCTGTGACCCCTGGCCTGGACTTCTTCTCTGGCCGCTTTTCCATTGCTGGCCCTCGAGGGGGCCGTCAGCCAGCCCTGTTCCCCTACCCAGTAGCCTCTCTCCCTCCCCGGTGGCAGGGAGCGTGGAGACCGGACGGAAGCTGCATGTGATTCCTCGTGCCAAGAAGGGCGCCGAGGGGCAGCCCCCTGGCCACAGCAGCCATGTCCTTTGCATGGCCATCTCCTCCGACGGCAAGTACCTGGTAAGGCCAGGTTGGCCCCTGGGGCAGGCGGAGGCCTGGGTGCGCTGTGGGACCGCTGTGGCCACCAGGTTGGCCCCTGGGGCAGGCGGAGGCCTGGGTGCGCTATGGGACCGCTGTGGCCACCAGGTTGGCCCCTGGGGCAGGCGGAGGCCTGGGTGCGCCGTGGGACCGCTGTGGCCACGGTCCTCATCCCCCTGCAGGCCTCGGGCGACCGCAGCAAGCTCATTCTCATCTGGGAGGCCCAGAGCTGCCGGCACCTGTACACCTTCACAGGACACCGGGACGCCGTGTCGGTGAGGAGCTGGGCCGGCCTCGGCAGAGCACCTGCTGCTTGGGCCGGCTCACTGCTGGCCCCTGGGGCGGGTATGCCCTTCAGGAGGGTATGGTCAGTGAGCTATGGGATGGGGAAGGTGCTGGGGAGACCCCAGCTGAGCCTGCACAGGGACGGGGCCCCCTGAGAAGTCTGCGTGTGCCGCAGGGCAGCAGGGCCGCACGGACGGGCCCCATGCAGCCTCCACGGGGCTTCTTGGCTTCTCCCGGGGCCTGAGCTCCGTCACCCGCTGTGCTCCAGGTTCGCTTTTGCTCCCTGTCCCTGCACCCTTAGGGGCTGGCGTTCCGCAGAGGCACCCACCAGCTCTACAGCACCTCGCACGACCGCTCCGTGAAGGTGTGGAACGTGGCGGAGAACTCCTACGTGGAGACGCTGTGAGTGTGCCCGGGCAGGGGCGCGCGTGTCCTGCGGGAGTTCCCGCGTGACCCCGAGCCGTCTCTGCTCTGCCCCGCAGCTTCGGGCACCAGGATGCCGTGGCCGCCCTGGACGCCTTGAGCCGGGAGTGCTGTGTGACGGCGGGGGGCCGGGACGGGACGGTGCGCGTGTGGAAGATCCCTGAGGAGTCCCAGCTTGTCTTCTACGGCCACCAGTAAGGCGCCTGTGGGGCACCTGGGGCCGCGCGGCTGGGGCCGGGGCCGGGGCCGGGGCCGGGCCCTGCTCCTCACCCTGCCTTCCTGCAGGGGCTCCATTGACTGCATCCATCTCATCAACGAGGAGCACATGGTGTCAGGTGCAGACGACGGGTGAGCGCCACCCCCTTGATTTCTCTCTCTCTCTCTTTCCAATACTTATTTAATTATTTGAGAGGCAGAGTTACAGGCAGAGAAAGAGAGAGAGGTCTTCCATTTGCTGGTTCACTCCCTAAGTAGCAGCTATGGCTGGGGCTGGGCCAGGCTGAAGCCAGGAGCTTCTTCCAGGTCTCCCACAAGAGTGCAGGGGCCTATGGACTTGGGCCATCTTCCACTGCTTTCCCAGGCCATAGCAAAGAGCTGGATCGGAAGAGGAGCAGCCGGGACTAGAACAGGTGTCCATATGGGATGCCGGCACTGCAGGCAGTGCTTTACCCACTGCACCACAGTGCCGGCCCCAGTAGCCGCTTTTCACAGACAGGGGCACTAAGGCCGAGAGCTGGGCTGACCTAGGACATGTTCCCCCGGCTGCGTGTGTGTCTGTCCTGCCCTGGCCCTCACTGCCTGTCCTCTGTGCCCACAGCTCCGTGGCTCTGTGGGGCCTTTCCAAGAAGCGGCCCCTCGTCGTGCAGCGAGATGCCCATGGGCTGCGTGGGGAGCCGGGCCTGGAGCAGCCCTTCTGGGTGTCGTCAGTGGCAGCGCTTCTCAACACAGACCTCATAGCCACAGGTGGGTGCCCCCTGCGTGGCAGGGAAGGGGAGGGGCTAGGGAGGAAGCCAGGCTGGGGCTGCTCACTGTCTCCCTGTCTCCCAGGCTCCCACAGCTCCTGTGTGCGGCTTTGGCAGTGTGGGGAGGGCTTCCGGCAGCTCAGCCATCTCTGTGACATCCCCCTGGTGAGTAGGGCCTGGCGAATGCTCAGCCAGCTGTGCCACACTGCTGGGGCCTCTGGCGTTCCTGGCCCCTGGAACTCCTCCCCTGCCTTCCCTCTGCTCCCCTCCCTGTCCTGAGCCCTGTCCTGGGGGCTGGGGTCCAAGGCAGGCAGCAGCATGGGCAAAGGCCTGGAGGCCTGGTGCTGTGACCAGTTCTGCATGGCTGGTGCAGGGAGCGTGCCAGGCTGGGGCATGTGGACTTGACCTCCCGCACTGGAGTGACGTGGGGGAGGGTGGCAGGACCCATGTCTGTGTGTTGAAATCGCAGGACCTGGGCAGGGGGTGATGGTAGGGGTGTCTCTGGCAGGAGCGAGGCCACACCCTGGCTAGTCTTGGTGTGCACCATTTCCCTAGTCCCCACAGTACCCCTGCCAGGCTGGTGCCCTGCCTCCCCCATCTCTCAAAGGGGAGCCCCAGGCCCCCCAGGTACAGGGCTGGCCCAGGTAAACAGGCGGCAGGAGGCACAGCCTGGTAGGCCAAGCCCTTGACCGTGACGCGGCGTCTGATGTGTGACCACACTCCCTCTTTCCTCAGGTGGGTTTCATCAACAGCCTCAGGTTCTCTAGCACGGGGGACTTTCTGGTGGCTGGGGTCGGGCAGGAACACAGGTACGTGATGCCTCTTGAGGGGTGAGGGTACAGGGCAGGGGAGCCCTGCTGGGCGGCTGGGTGGGGACTGGGCTGGGTCTCAGCTCCTCCTCTGGTCCGTGCAGGCTTGGCCGATGGTGGCGGATCAAAGAGGCGCGCAACTCGGTGTGCATCATCCCTCTGCGCAGGGCCCCGGCGCCCGAAGCTGCTGGCTCCTGATGGCTCTCCCTCCTTATTTAAGTCCCTCCCAGGCCATGGCCACTCCCTGCCCCCGTTTGTAGTAAATCTTCCTCTTTTGGACCTTGTCTCTCTGTTTGTTTTAAAGATTTATTTGTTTTGAAAGATGGAGTTACAGAGACAGAGAAAGAAAGAGAGGTCTTCCATCTGCTGGTTCACTCTCCAAATGGCCATAATGGCCAGGGCTGGGCCAGGCAGAAGCCAGGAGCCAGGAGCTTCTTCCGGGTCTCCCACGTAGGTGGCAGGGGCCCATACGCTTAGACCATTACCCACTGCTTTCCCGGGTGCATTAGCATGGAGCTGGATTGGAAGTGAAGCAAGCAGGACTTGAACTGGCACCCATATGGGATGCAGCTGGCACGGGACTCCCACTCTGTTGGGGGCATAGGCACAGAAAGAGCAGGGACAAGCTGTGTTCCTACGAGCGGAGGGAAGCGTCTCAGGACCCGAGGGCTGAGTCTCCCTAGAGAGGTGGTCTTGTGCTATTTGACTTTACAGTATACCTTCAGCGGGCACGTACTTGGTCCTTGCTTTGTGCCAGCACAGCTGAGCTTCTGGGGACACAAAGGAGAAACGTGGCTTCACTCTGCCGTCAGGAGTGGGTGAAGCAGGCCAGGGACAGGCGAGACCACGATGGAGAGCGGGAGAAGGGCCGTGCAGCCTTGCAGGTGCTGGACCTACCAAGTCCCCCTCCAGTCCTGCTGGGAGGGCAGCTGGCCTAGGGCCTGCATGTGGTGGGGGTGGGACTGCTGCAGAAGAGCTGCCCTGGGGCAGGGGCCCATGGGGAAGGGACGCTTAGCATGGCTCATTCCTGGGAGGCCTGCAGGTTGTGGGGCTGGGAGCGTGTGTGGAGGGCTCATCCCATTGTGACCCTCCTGACCCGTTCTTTCCTTCCTCCCCCTCCCCAAAGAGGTTGGCTGAGAACCTCCAGGGTGGGGGTAGCATGGAGAAAGGGGGCGGAGTTGAGGGGTGGGGAAGGCGGAGACCCAGAGTGCTGGCACCTCTGCAGCTGGGGGCCACCACAGTGGTCCTGAGGGCGCTTGTGTCTTACTCCCTTACCCCAGCCTCCCCAGGCTTGCCCAGGGCTCCTCGCCCTGCACCCCTCACAGCTTCCCCTCTGGGGCAGGTGTTCAGCCCAGTGGGTATGGTACCATTTAGGACACACACATCCCATAAGAGTCCTGGGTTCAAGTCCTGGTTTGGCCCCTGATTCCGGCTTCCTGCTAATGTGGACCCGGGAGACAGTGGTGATGGCTGAAGTACCTGAGTCCCTGCACCTCCCACGGGAGCCCTGGACTGTGTTCCCAGCTCCCAGCTTTGGCCAGGTCCAACCCAGGTCATTGCATGCATTTGGGAAGTGAACCAACCGTGGGAGCTTGGTCTGTGGCGTCTGTCTCTGAATAAATAATTAAAAATTTAAAAACAAAGCAAAACGCCCCTCCGCTCTTTGCCTCAGTCCCTGTGGTAGCTCCTCCCTGCCCACTGGCTGGTCCAGGAGACACTGAAGACCCCAGCCCCTCTCTGCCCCTTTGTCAAGTGTTCTTTCTGAATTAATTGATATGATTATTTTTTTTTTCCTTTAACCCATTTATATGATGGATTATGTTGATTTTTAAAATATTGAACCATCCTTGCACTCTAGGTTAACCCCCACTGGTCATGGTATATTATTTTAAAAAAATATTTATTGATTTAATTGAAAGGCATAGAAGTGGCAGCTTGGGACTGGTGTGGCACAGCAGGTTAAGCTGCTGCCTGGCATTCCAGCATCCCATTTGGGTGCCAGTTCAAGTCCCAGCTGCTCTACTTCCAATCAAGCTCCCTGCTAATGCGCCTGGGAAAGCAGCACAGGATGGCCCAAGTGCTTGGGCCCCTGCACCCATGTGGGAGACCCTGATGGAGTTCCCGGCTCCTGGCCATTTGGGGAGTGAACCAGTGGATGGACGATTCTCTCTCTCAATCTGCCTTTCATATAAATAGAATAAATCTTGAAAAAGAAAAAGAAAAAAGAAGTGGCAGGCTAACCCTGCCGTGCCATAACACCAGTTCCTGGAATTTTCTTTACTAGAATTTTTCTAACATCAGAGTCAATTTCTTTAATAGACATGGCACTATTCAGATGTTCTATTTCTTCTGAGTTTTGATCCTTTGTACTTTTCAGTGAATTTATCCATCCCATCTACCATTTATTTTGCCCCGCTTGCTGTAGTCTCAAGTTGCTCATATATCTCATTTCCTGAGGCGGAAACTCAAGTTTTCGATTGTAGATCTTTCTTTTCCAACACATGCATTTAATTCTATAAAACTTCCTCTAATCGCTGCTTGCCCTGCATCCCACAGACTTTGACAAGCTCTGTGTTGTTTTCCAGCTTCTCCTGGGACTTCTTTGACTCAAGTATTTAATTCACAAGTAGAGGAGATTTTCCGGCCATTACCCCGTCACTGGTTTCTGCTTTAGTTCCTCCGCGGGCTGAAGCACACTGCATCACGTGTGTATCCCTTCAGACTTGTTGGGTTTGTTTGCGGCCGAGTGTGGGCTTTCTCAGCAGCGGTCCTGACGGGAGCCTGAAAGACTGGGGTGTTCTGTCTCGGAGGCCGTCGTCGCTGAGTGTGGGTCGGGCTCGGCTGCTGGCCGTTCAGGTCAGCGCAGCCTTAGCCATGTTCTGCCGGTTCGATCTGTCAGTCGCTGACAGGAGTGTCTGTGCCCGTCAGTGATGCCGGGTTCTGAACTGCTTGCCATTCTGTCAGCTTCTGGCCTCCTGCGTTTTGATGCATTGGGGTTAGGTGAGTGTGGATGTAGAATTGTTAGTGTTCTTGGAACGGTGGCCCCTTTATCATTCTGTAATGCCCCTCTTTATCCCTGATTGTATGCCTTGTTCTGGAGTTGAAGTGGTCTGAGTGTAATACAGCTACCCCGTCATTCTTTTGATTACGGTTAGCCTGGCAGACCTTTCTCCAAATCTTTACCCTTTCTCTTCTTAGTTAAGATTTTGATTTAACATATTTGAAAGGCAGAGGCAGACAGGGAGAGAAGAGAGACAAGAGAAGGAGGTTGGGGCAGAGCGTGAGCTATTGTCCACTTCCTCTGGTTCACTCCTCAAATGCCTGGAGTAGCGTGGGCTGGACCAGGTGAAAGCTGGGAACTGGGAACTCGATCCAGTCTCATGTAGGTGGCCAGGACCCGGGTACTTCAGCATCGTCCCTGCCTCCCAGGGAGGGCATCAGCACTGAGCAGGGCAGGGGTTCTTGATCACTCATCTGCTACCTGCTCATTGAACTAGCTCTTTCCTCCACCCTCAAGCCTTGTCTTCACTATTCTGTTTCCGTACCAGTGGCACGAACTAAGGTTTCAGTAAGTTTTGTTTTTAAAAGATATAATTTATTTGAAAGGCAGAGTTACAGAAAGGCAGAGGCAGAGAGAGAGAGAGAGGTCTTCCATCACTGGTTCACTCCCCAAATGGCTGCAACGGCTGGAGCTGGGCTGATCTGCATCTCCCATATGCGTGCAGGGACCCAAGGACTTGGGGCCATCTTGTACTGCTTTCCCAGGCCATAGCAGAGAGCTGGATTGGAAATGGAGCAGCCAGGACTCAAACCGGCACCCATGTGGGATGCCAGCACTACAGGTGGTGGCTTTACCTGCTATGCCACAGCACCAGCCCCTTCAGTAAGTTTGTCTTTTTTCTCCACTTATGAATACATTTTGGTTACCATCATCATCAGTAATATAGATCAAATTCATTATTACACTCTTATGCAGTATTCTGTTGTATAGATGGGACTATAGAACATTAAATCAACCCCTAGCGGATGGATATGGAAGCTTTTTCTATTGCGTGTTATTCCCGATGGCTGACATCTGTTCCTGGCCCCTTGGCTGTGGAGCCAGGGCTTCCCCATTCCTGACGGTGAACAGCAGGGAGCACTTCAGTCCTGCCTTTGAGGGGCTCGCTGTTGGCAGCCATCCTGGTGCCTGAGTCATAGCTGCCCTTATGACATCACGGGTCCCCCTCCTCCACTCTTGTCATGCCGTGGCCGGAGGAACACAGGCCTGAGGGGATCTGAACCATCTACACCCAATCCCTGCGTGACCAATGGTGAGTACCAGAGCCAGGCACACCAGGCTCGTTAGGGATGGCCCCACAGGTCTCAGGATGGAAGGAGCCCCTGACATCTGAACACACGGGGACGCCTGGGGCCATGTGGCCTTCTGAGTGGAGAGGGGACAGGGCCGCAGCGGCCCCACCGCTGCCTTTCCCCTCACTGATGCTTGCAGGCGGAGACTCAGTCTACACCAGAGGATGAGCCTCAGCAGAGTGCGGAGCCCAGCGGTGTGTCCTCGGCACCACCCGCCTCAAACAAGAAGGAGAAGGTAGGAGGAGGCCTGGCCGGGCGGCCTGAGCCCTGTCGCCTGGTGCTCGGGGGTCCTGTCTTGCGTGGTCCTCAGCCAAGAACAGGACCACCTCATTACTGCCCTCTCTCTCCGTTTCCCCTTCAGACTAAACCTCTGGCCGAGACAGAGAAAGTGGAAAATGCTGACAGTAAAGTCAAAGAAGTATGACCCCTCCCCCGATAACCTCCACCGTGCAGATCACACCTGGGGCGGGTGTGAGGGCTGCGTGCGGGGAGGGGAGCGGAATGAGACGAGGGAGGCTGGGTTTAGAGTTTAGAATTGTGTGTGTGTGTGTGTGTGTGTGTGTGTGAGTGTGAGCGTGTGCCTGTGTTTGCTTAGGAACTAAGATTGAAAGGAGAGTGAAGACGGGGAAGTGGGGTGGGGGACACTGAATACAGTGAGGCGGCAGAGGCGGGGAGCAGGTTGTGGGTGTGAGCTGCAGACAGGGTCAGAGGGCAGCCGAGCAAAGGTGCCCCCTGTGCAGCAGGTGGGGGCTTTGAAGGGAAGGCACGGGCAGAACGTGGTAACCCCTTGACCCACAGACCGCACTGTTGCTTCAGTTGGCAAAGCTGATCACTGGGGAAAGCGAGTAACTAGGGCAGGTGCAGCCCCATATTACAGATGGGGACACTGAGACGCCAAGAGCCAGGGGATGTGTTAACCAGAGGGTGTGGCTGGCTCTAGCCAGTGCTCCTGCATTTCAGGGGGAGGGTCCATTGTCATTAACGATGGCATCAGGGTCTTTCCCAGCACGGCCTGCAGCTCTCTCTGAATGTCCCCTCTTTTCTCTTGCAAGGTGCCAAAGAGAGAGAAGAAGATCTTTGATGAAAAGACGGCAGTTCTGGCGATCCAGGCCTGGTGGCGGGGCACCCTGGTACGGCGGGTGCTGCTGCACGCGGCCCTCCGGGCCTGGGTCATCCAGTGCTGGTGGCGCCTGATCCTGAACAGGGCCCTGGAGAAGAGGCGGCGAGTGGCGCTGGAGAACTTCACCCGGGAGGAGTGGGCGGCCGTGAGGCTGCAGTCCTGGGCCCGCATGTGGCGCATCCGCCGGCGCTACTGCCAGGTGCTCAACGCCGTCCGCATCATCCAGGCCTACTGGAGGTGCCACACCTGCGCTTCCCGGGGCATCATCAAGGGCCAGTACAGAGTCACGGCCAACCAGCTGCATCTCGAGCTGGAGATCTTGCTGGGCTCGGGGCCTTGCATTGTGACAGAGTGTATTCCCCTCCCAATAAAGCAGTGACGTGGTCCTCTCCACACTGTCTCTGTGTGACCAGCTCCAGGCCGAAGCTGGCAGATGCCTGGCCTCGCGGATGTGGAGTTGTCTGTGCCCCGTGTAGAGAAGGGCCCTGAGCTCCTTGCCCGGGCTGACAGGGACTGTGCTTGATTGGCACTGAAGTCTTACTGATTTATCTGAAAAGGAAGGGAGGAGGCAGAGAGAGAGATGCCGGTCTTCCGTCTGCTAGTTCACGCCCCAGATGCCCAGAACAGCTCCGGGGGGTGGTCTTCTGAGCTAGTTTTCAGTGCCTGTGCATATCCATCACATCAAAGCGAGAAGAGAAGAGGAAGGCAGACTGGAAGGCCAGCAGAGCGTGTGCTCCTTACACAGCGACGCTGCAGCTGCGCTGAATGCGGCTGTGTGATGAACCCCACCAGACTCGCCAGTCTGCACTGTGACTCACAGGAGAGCAGTGGTCATGGAGGCAGAAATTCAAAGTGCTGCATCTCGTCACGGAGGAATTTGTTTATAAAAAGCTAAAACAGGCCGGCGCCGCGGCTCACTAGGCTAATCCTCCACCTAGCGGCGCCGGCACATCGGGTTCTAGTCCCGGTTGGGGCGCCGGAGTCTGTCCCGGTTGCCCCTCTTCCAGGCCAGCTCTCTGCTGTGGCCAGGGAGTGCAGTGGAGGATGGCCCAGGTGCTTGGGCCCTGCACCCCATGGGAGACCAGGAAAAGCACCTGGCTCCTGGCTCCTGCCATCGGATCAGCGCGGTGCGGCGGCCGCGGTGGCCATTGGAGGGTGAACCAACGGCAAAAGGAAGACCTTTCTCTCTGTCTCCCTCTCTCACTATCCACTCTGCCTGTCAAAAAATAAAAAAATAAAAAAAAAATTAAAAAAAAAAAAGCTAAAACATGAAAAGGGGGCTGCAGATAGGATTCCAGGCTGCTCATTTGTTAGCCAAGCAGGGGCAGCTGCTTGCTGCTAATTAAATCATGTTTGATGGCAGCAGCCGGAGAGCTGGGGCCAGAGACAATGAACTTAACACTGTTAGCCTGTCAAGGAAGGGAGCTGCTGAAAGTGTGGAAGACACGGGGAGCAGGATCAGCAGTCAGTTAAAAATAGGGCAAATGACTTCAAGTGGTTTTCCTTGGCTCTTGATGAGCTGACAGGTGCCAATACAGCTCAGCTGTTGTTTGTTGCAGGCATAAATGCCAAGTTTGAAGTGGACTGGGGAACATTGCGTAGGAAACAAATACATTGGGAACATTTGTTGAAGACATTGAGAAAAAGCTAGTTTAGTATAACCTGAGATGGAATCTGCTGAGATGTGATAAAACTGCTAGTAGCAAAAATAGGGGTGGAGCAGAAGACTGGCTTCGTTGGTCAAGCTCACCAAGCACAGGAAAATATCAGACACAGGCTAGGGTTCCTCATTGTTATCATCCCTTTTAAGCTGTCCCAGGAGACAAGACCAATTGGAATCCTGAAGAAGCTAGCATTTAATTATTTATTTTCATACTGCATTTGAAAGGAAGGGAGGGAGAGAGAGAGAAGGCTGATTCTGAGAGATTTCATTTGCTGGTTCACTCCCCAAATGCCTTCCACAGGGCTGGACCAGCTAAAACCAGGAGCCAGGAACTCCATCCGGAACGTCCACGCTGGTGGAACGACCCAGGTGCTTGAACCAGCAAAGGTGGCCAAGCAGAGGTGGGACTTGAACCCAGGCACACTGCTAGGGGGTGTGGGCGTTCCAACTGGCAGCTTGAGCCAGTGTGCTGATGTGGTAAAGATTAGATGGATAATTTTAAGTTCATGAGCTGGAAGCCACATCTTCGTTTTGTGTTGTCATGTTCATCTACCTGTCAATCAGGAGACCCCTCCCCAGGAAGTACCTCCTCTTGCCTGGGCCGTGGGGTGGTGCCACGGAGACACTTCCTTTTTTCTGAGCACGTAAAAGGCTAGGAAGAAGGGCAGCGCTTTCTCCATGAGGATCAGGACGAGCAGAGCGAGATATGATAATTCTTTTTTAGGCCCCATTCTCCCTTAATGAAGCCCCACCTTAGGCCTGTGTATTTTTCTTACATTGTAAATAAAGTTTAACACACTGCATGTCGTGTTTGGGCCTGTATTTAGAACTCTAAGTAAAAGGCAAGAACCTGGAAAATGAATTTAGGCCCCAAACCCAGCCCATGACAGTACCACAGCACCCACCCCAGATGCCATTTTAAATGGTGAAAACTTACTATCAGGAGCAAGTAGGCGTGAGCTGCAAGAAGGGAGGGCTACGGTGGACCCTTTCTTTATAGCTGCTGAGTCACCCACATGAATGTTAGGATTGGCTGCAGGGGCCAGCGCTGTGGCATAGTAGGTAAAGCTGCTGCCTGCAGTGCCAGCATCCCATATGGGCACTGGTTCGAGTCTCAGCTGCTCCACTTCCGATCCAGCTCTCTGCTATGGTCTGGGAAAGCAGTGGAAGATGGCCCAAGTCCTTGGGCCCCTGCACGTCCGTTGGAGACCCGGAGGAAGCTCCTTGCTTTGGATTGGTGGAATTCCTGTTGTTGTGGCCAACTGGGGAATGAACCAGCCCATGGAAGACCTCTCTCACTCTGCCTCTCCTCTCTGTGTAACTCTGATTTTCAATTTTTTTTTTTTTTTTTTTTTTTTTTTACAGAGTTAGAAAGGTCTTCCTTTACCGTTGGTTCACCCTCCAAATGTTCGCTATGGCCAGCGTGCTGCACCGATCCGAAGGCAGGAGCCAGGTGCTTCTTCCCGGTCTCCCATGCGGGTGCAGGGCCCAAGCACTTGGGCCATCCTCCACTGCACCTTCCCGGGTCATAGCAGAGAGCTGGACTGGAAGAGGAACAACTGGGACAGAATCTGGGGTGCCGGTGCTGCAGGCGGAGGATTAGCCTAGTGAGCCACGGTGCCAGCCTTTTTTTTAATAAAAGAATATTGGCTGCAGTGGGGTCACTGCTGTCTCTCATTGGGAGTTGCCTTTGGCCAAGGGAGGAAATTTGATTGAGGTTTGTACTCTTCTAAGTGGAGTTCTGCAACCAGGGGCTGGCTTTTGGTTGGTGTTAGGGTTGAATTATGCCCTCCAGGGAGACCTGTTGGAAGTTCTAGTCCCCACTACCTCACAACGTGACCTGAATTGGAAATAGGGATTTTCATTATTTTCAGTTAAAAAAGATAATAACTCAGCTATACAAAAGAATGAAATTCTACCATTGAAAGCAAAATGGATGCAACTGCAAGACGTCAAGTTGAGTAAAATCAGCTGGCCACAGAAAGACCAATCCCCTTAAGTGGGAGCTAAAATTTATAACAGAAACTAAAGAAGAGATGCCTTTTTGCATTTTACATGTTAAACAACTTATTTGGTGAAGTATTATGCCTTTTTTACTCTAATGTAAATTTTTTTAAATTTTTTTATTTTTTGACAGGCAGAGTGGACAGTGAGAGAGAGACAGAGAGAAAGGTCTTCCTTTGCCGTTGGTTCACCCTCCAGTGGCCGCCGTGACCGGCGCGCTGCAGCCGGTGCACCGCGGCCGGTGCACCGCAGCCGGTGCACCGTGCTGATCCTATGGCAGGAGCCAGGTACTTATCCTGGTCTCCCATGGGGTGCAGGGCCCAAGTACTTGGGCCATCCTCCACTGCACTCCCTGGCCACAGCAGAGAGCTGGCTTGGAAGAGGGGCAACCGGGACAGAATCCGGTGCCCCGACCGGGACTAGAACCCTGTGTGCTGGTGCCGCAAGGTGGAGGATTAGCCTAGTGAGCCGCGGCGCCGGCTCTAATGTAAATTTAAAATGTTATCTCTCAACTTAAAAAAAAAAAAAAGGGATGGGAAGGAAATGGAGAGGGAGAGAAGGAGAAAGGGAATATCATTATATTCTTAGAATTGTATATCTACAGGGGCCAGCACGTGGTACAGTAGGTTAAGTCTTCGCCTGCTGTGCCAGCATCCCATATGGGTGCTGGTTCGAGTTGCGGCTGCTCCACTTCCAATCCAGCTCCCTGTTAATGGCCTGGGTAAAGGAAGCAGTGGAAGACGGCCCAAATGCTGGGGGCCCTGCATCCACATGGGAGACCTGGAAGAAGTTCCTGACTCCTAGCTTTGGATCAGTCCAGCTGCAGCTGTTGAAGCCATTTGGGGAGTGAACCAGTGGATGGAAGACCTCTCTGTAACTCTGCCTTTCAAATAAAAATAAATAAATCTATTAAAAATGTATATCTACAAAGCACACTGAATTTGTTAAAAACTAAAAACGTAAAGATTTATTTACTTATTCAAAAGACTTAGATGGCGAGACAGAGATCTTCCATCTGCTGGTTCACTCCCCAGATGGCTGCAGTGGCCAGTGCTGGGCCAGGCTGATGCCAGGAACCAGAAGCTTCACCTGGGTCTCACATGGGGGGCGGGGGCCTACACACTTGGGGCGTTCTGTCCTGCTTTCCCAGGCACAGTAGCAGGTAGTTAGATCACGAATGGAGCAGCCAGGAGTCAAACTGGTGCCCAAATGGGATGCTGGCGTTCCAGGCAGTGGCTTAACCCACTAAGCACAGCACTGCTCACCAGGTGATGGCTCACCTGCTACACCAAACGCTCGCTGCAGAAGTGGTTTGCGGGTGTCATCGTTAGGGTGGGGCCACGGTAAGCAGGAAGTTGCTATAGAAGATATGATGGGCCGGCGCCGTGGCTCACTAGGCTAATCCTCCACCTTGTGGTGCTGGCACACCGGGTTCTAGTCCCGGTCAGGGCACCGATTCTGTCCCAGTTGCCCCTCTTCCAGGCCAGCTCTCTGCTGTGGCCCGGGAGTGCAGTGGAGGATGGCCCAAGTGCTTGGGCCCTGCACCCCATGGGAGACCAGGATGAGTACCTGGCTCCTGCTATTGGATCAGCGCAGTGCGCCAGCCGCGGCGGCCATTGGAGGGTGAACCAATGGCAAACGGAAAAGGAAGACCTTTCTCTTTGTCTCTCTCTCTCACTGTCCACTCTGCCTGTCAAAAAAAAAAAAAAAAAAAAAAAGATATGATGAGTCTGCCTCCTTCAGCATCCCCTTAAGGGTCAGAAATCTCTTGAAGGGGGGATGATGTGGGAAAGCTTAGATAAATTTAAGTTCGTGAGCTGGAGGCCCCACCTAGTTGGCTTTGTGTTACGTTCATCTGCTTGTCAATCAGGGGATCCCTCCCCAGGAAGTACCTCCTCTTATCTGGGATGTGGGAGTGGTACCATAAAAACACTTAGATTTTTCCTAAGTACATAAAAAACTAGGAAGAGTGTAAGCTTGCTCTCTCTCTCCACGTGCACTTGGGATGAGCAGAGCATGGTATGATAATTCCTTTTCTTTGGTCCGCTCTTTACCTTAATGACCCTAATGAGCCTGTGTATTTTTCTCACTTTGTAAATAAAGTTTATCACACTGCATGCCATAATGTTGTGGGGCACAGCGAGACCCTTGAAGTCAAGTGAGGAGTCTTTATTAGCCAGGTGGCGACTGCCCTCTCAGAGCAAGGCTGGAGAAGACAGCCCCGAGTTGTGGTGGCGGGCAGGGGCAGGGGGTTAAGGCAGAAACTACATTTTGGTGGCCTTGACCATTATCAAGGAAGCAAGCAGACATACAGAAGCCAGAAATATGCCCGTACCAGCAGACTGGTATCTATAACTTGTTTCTCTCAAAGGAACAGTCCCTGCTCTGAAAACCAAGCAAGATAACCTATAACCACTCGGGCAGGGTATGTCCCATGGGAAAACCTTAGACTTAGACACCCTGTCACAGTGTTGGGGCCTGTAGAAACTGGAAAATTAACGTGGGCCTAATTCCCAGCCCATAACATAACCAGAAGTCGGGCCACTGCGGCAGGAAAAGAGAGGACAGGAGGTGTAGGCTTCTTTAGAAGGGGCTCAGCTGTTGGAACACATTCTGGTGGCCGCATCACAGGTGCTGTTATGACGTCATCACCTCTCCCCTGCTCCACTCTTCCCGCTGGAGCTGTGGCTGGAGGAGGGCAGACCTCAGGGTGATGGAACCATCTAGCCCCTAGCCATGGGTAATTTAATAGAGTGGAGATTTTGGGGATTTGGCCACCTGTTCTCAAGCTAGGGGAAGCCATGTTTTGTAAGACAGATCCACCCAAGCTTTGAGAGGGCAGGTGGCTTTCCCACAGCCACCCCTGGGGGATCCCTCTCTGTGTCTGAGTCCCAGGAGGGGCCGAGAAGCCAAGTCAGTGGCTGACTGGGCACCTTGTGCTTGGGGACGCGCCCTTGCTTTCCTCCCAGTCTCCCAGACCCTGCCCAAACTCAATTAAAAGACAGCAAATGGTTTTAAATCATTAGAGACAATGTTGAAGTCACTACTTTGTTAGAGCAGAGCTTGAAGGAACATAGGCGAGAAGAGGGAAGCCCCCTGCAACCCAATCCCCACAAGCCTCTTCCTGGCTCTGTGGATAGGGGGACCCAGGCTGCGATCCTGTGGGCCAGTGGGCTGACATGAAGGTTAAGTACTATATCATCCATAGACAGACACTTAAGCGAGCAAGGGGGTACCTACCATCATTACGCCAGGATATAGGCATCAACCTGGTTGTCCCAGGCAAACTGGAGCCCATGGGCCCAACACACAGAACCGGAAGGTACCAGATTGATCCCGCCTTGGCTGTCTTTTCTCCTTTCATTTTTAGGCAGAGATGCTTGGGTCTAGCTGAGATTCAGAGTGTTGACTGTGGCAAGGAGGGAGGCACGGGAGTGTGAACCCCAACCATACAGGATTGGGAGTGGCAGGTGTGGGTTGTGTGGAATGCAGGAGCCAAGTTGTGGAAAGTAGGGTCTACAATATGCGTGTGTGTGAGTGTGTATGCACATGTGAACTGAACTTGAAGCTGTTGACTGGGTGTGCTGGACGAATCTCTTACTGCTTTGATGAGGCAGAGGTGAGGGACACAGTGGTTGTGGCTTTGGGCTCAGGAGAGATGAGAGGGCGAGGAGGGCAAAGGTGCCACTTTTCCAGTTGATGGGAGGGGTCTCCACGGAAGTGGTCAGGGCCAGGTGAAGCCTGTAGCTCTTGGACCTCTACGTTATGGTATTATTGCTTTAGACTGGCCAACCAGGTCCGTGGAATCCCGGGTCAAGTAGCCAAGGAAGCTGCCCCCATTCTGCAGATGTGGACAGAGACTCAGAGGTCCAGGTTGTGTGTCCGTGCCCCTTAGCCAGAGTGGCAGAGGCAGGACAGCGGTCTGGTCTCCTGAGTCCTGTGTTCTTGCATTTTGGATGGAAAGGAGTCTTAGATAGGAATCAGGGCCCCTTCCCCGGATACCCCCGCTTTCGCACGTGGCCTCAGTGCTCTCTCGTTTTCTCTTGCAAGGTCCAAAACGGAGCACCAACACCAACAAGGCGAATGCGTCAGCGGCAGTGGTCATCCAGGCCTGGTGGCGTGGCACCCTGGTGCGCCGCACGCTGCTGCACGCCGCCCTCAGAGCTTGGGTCATTCAGTGCTGGTGGAGGCACAAGCTGGCAAAGCTGATGGAGTTGAGGCGGCGGACAACACTGGAGTTCTTTGCCCGGCAAGAATGGGCGGTTGTCCGGGTGCAGTCCTGGGTCCGTATGTGGTGCATACGCCAGCGGTACTGCCGGTTGCTCAACGCCGTTCGCATCATCCAGGTCTATTGGCGCTGGCACAATTGTCATACCCGTGGCTTTATTCAGGGTGACTATGAACTCAAAGAAGACCGACTGAATATTCAACTTGAAATCTCTCTGGGCTCACAAGCTTGTAAGGTACAACAATGCATACCCCTTCCAATAAAAGAATGACGAGGTCTGCTATCTCAGCGTCTCCAGCATCTTTTGTCAGACATCGAGCTCCAGGAGGGCATCGTCTGAGCGCGTAATGGTGAATGTGAGGCATTAGGCACGTCTGCAGACCTGATGCTGGATGAGTAGGGCCCGTGATTGATTAGTAATGTCTGTCATGGTTAAGGATTTGGACTTGCAGGGTTGCCAGGAAACCAGCTCCATGGAGACTGCATAAATGATGCTGCCTGTCATTGCAGATGTGGGAGATCTGTGTCATCACCTCTTGTTCCTTTTTTTTTTTTTTTTGCAAATTTTAAACAGTTTTAAAAATGATAAAACATACAAGAAATGTACCATTTTATTTTTTTTTAAGATTTATTTATTTGTTTGAAAGGCAGAGTTACAGAGAGGCCAAGGCAGACAGAGATCTTCCATCGGCTGATTCACGCCCCTAATGGATGGAGCTGGGCCGATCCGAAGCCAGGAGATTCTTCTTGGTCTCCCATGCAGATGCAGGGACCCAAGCATCTGGGCCATCTTCTGCTTTCCCAGGCTATCAGCAGGGAGCTGGATTGGAAGTAGAGCAGCTGGGTCTCGAACTAGTTCCCTGCTTTGCCACAGTGTGGGCCTCGAAATGTACCATTTTTTTTTTTTTTTTTGACAGGCAGAGTGGACAGTGAGAGAGAGAGACAGAGAGAAAGGTCTTCCTTTGCCGTTGGTTCACCCTCCAATGGCCGCCGCTGCAGCCGGCGCACCGCGCTGATCCGATGGCAGGAGCCAGGATCCAGGTGCTTTTTCCTGGTCTCCCATGGGGTGCAGGGCCCAAGCACCTGGGCCATCCTCCACTGCACTCCCTGGCCATAGCAGAGAGCTGGCCTGGAAGAGGGGCAACCGGGACAGAATCCGGCGCCCCGACCGGGACTAGAACCCGGTGTGCCGGCGCCGCAAGGTGGAGGATTAGCCTATTGAGCCACGGCGCCGGCTCGAAATGTACCATTTTAAAGAGTACAGTTCAGTGGCATTAAGTATGTTCACTTTGCTGGGCAACCATCACAGCTATCCATCTCCAAGCTGTTTTCCTTTTTAAATAGTGAAAAAGATTGTATTAATTCAACACACAGAGATCAGAGAGAGAGAGGTCTTCCATCCGATGGTTCATTCCCCAAATACCCACAACAGCCAGGGCTGGATCAGGCTGAAGCTGGGAGTTGGGAACTCAATCCACGTCTCCCACACGGTGGGCAGGGACCCACGTGCGTGAGCCATCACGTGCTGCCTCCCACTGTGCGCATGAGCAGGAGGCTGCAGTTGGGATCAGAGGCAGGAGCTGAACCGAGGCATTCCAGTGTGGGATGCAGGCGTTCCAGGCAGCATCCAAATTGCTGCCCAAGCGTCTGCTCCTCCAGGACACTTTCCATCTTACAAGACAAACTTTGTGTCCGTGAAGCAGTATTTCTCCATGCCGCCCTCCCTCTAGCACCTGGCAATCACCCACTTCTTGGCTCTGAGGGCGACTACTCCAAGTACCCTATGTGAGCGGAATGATAAAATATTTGTCTTTCTGTGACGGCCTTATTTCACTCAGTGAGATGTTGTCGAGGTCCACCCATGTCATAGCATGTGTCACATTTCTTTTTTATGGCTGAAGAACATTCCAGTCTATGTATGTGCACGTTTTATTGGCCCACTCGTGGCCTCTTGGGTTGCTTCCACCTTTTAGCTATTTGAATAATGCGGCTGTGAATATGGGTGCACAAATACTCCTTTGTGTTCAGGACCCTGTTCTCAATTATTTCATGTGTATATTCAGAAGTGGGGCATATGGAAGCCTACTTTCAATTTTTTTAGGAGCTGCCATACTGTTTTCTGTCAATAATGCAATATTTTATATTTTAACCAACAGTGTATAAGGGTTTCCATTTCTCAACATCCTTGGCAATACTTATGTCTGTTCTTAAAACTTTATTTTTATTCAAGAAAAAGGTGGACAAGGCTCCGTACACTGTTCATACTCCAAATGTCTGCAATGGGCCGGGCTGGGCCAGGACAAAGTCGGGAGCCAGGAACTCAGTCCAGTTCTCCCACATGGGTGGCAGGATTCAGTCACTTAGGTCGTTTCCCACTGCCTCCCAGTGTAGGCCTTAGCAGAAAAGTAGAATCAGGAGCAGTGCCAAGCCTGAAACCCAGGCGCTGTGATACGGGATGTGGGCATCCCAGCTGGCAGCTTAATGGCTAGGCCAGATGCCTGTCCCATCTCATAGCTCTCCTAGTGGGTGTGATAAGGGATCTCATTGCGCTTTGAATGTACATTTCCCTAATAGGTAGTGATGGGAGTGTCTGTTGACTCTCTCTAGTTGTTCTTTGGAAAATATTGGTCCACTTGATGATGTTCCACAGGTTTCTTAGACTCTGTTCACGTTAATCTTTTTTCTTTTTGTTCCTCAGACTCAATAATTTCAGTTACCTTGTTTTCCAACTTGTTAACTCTTTCTTCTGTCTACTGAAATCTGCTCTTGAAAGCCTCTGTTGATATTTTCATGTCAGTCATTGTACTTTTTGGATCTGGGATATATTTTTTGTCTCTTCATGTTATCTTTTTTTTTTTTTTAAGATTTACTTATTTGAAAGTCAGTTACACAGAGAAGGAGAGGCAGAGAGAAGGAGAAGGTAGAGAGGTAGAGAGAGGGAGAGAGAGGTCTTCCATCCGATGGTTCACTCCCCAGGAGGCTGCAACGGCCAGAGCTGTGCTGATCCAAAGCCAGGAGCCAGGAGCTTCTTCCGGGTCTCCCACATGGGTGCAGGGGCTCAAGTACTTGGGCCGTCTTCTACTCTTTTCCCAGGCCATAGCAGAGAGCTGGGTCGGAAGTGGAGCAGCCGGGACTTGAACCGGCGCGCATACGGATGCTGGTGCAGCAGGCTGAGGCTTTACCTGCTATGCTGCAGTGCCGGCCCCTGATGTTTTCTATCTTAAGACTGATATTTCCATTATGTTCATGGATCACTTTCTTGACTTTGTCCATGTCATCTCTAAGTTCTTTGAGTCTATGAGGGATCCCAGCTAGTTAATGAAAAATACACACCGTGAAGACCTGTGGTGTGGTGTGGTGAGGTGAGTTAGGCCTCTACCTGTGATGCTGGTGGCCCATGTGAGTGCAGGTTTGAGTCCCAGCTGCTCCGTTTCCAATCCAGCTCTTTGCTAGTGTGCCTGGGAAGGCAGAAGACGCTCAAATGTGAGAGACCTGAATAGAGTTCTAGGCTCCTGGCTTCAGCGGGGCCGTCACAGCCATTTGGGGGATGAACCAGTGATGGAAAATCTCTTTCTGTCTGTAACACTGCCTTTTCAGATAAATCTCTCTCTCTCTCTCTTTTTTTTTTTTTTGACAGGCAGAGTGGACAGTGAGAGAGAGAGACAGAGATAAAGGTCTTCCTGTGCCGTTGGTTCACTCTCCAATGGCCGCCGCGGCTGGCGTGCTGTGGCTGGTGCACCGCGCTGATCCGATGGCAGGAGCCAGGTACTTATCCTGGTTTCCCATGGGGTGCAGGACCCACGTACTTGGGCCATCCTCCACTGCACTCCCTGGCCACAGCAGAGAGCTGGCCTGGAAGAAGGGCAACCGGGATAGAATCCGGCGCCCCGACCGGGACTAGAACTCGGTGTGCTGGCGCCGCAAGGTGGAGGATTAGCCTAGTGAGCCACGGCGCCGGCCTTCAGATAAATCTCAAACTAAAAATACAAATTCATACTAAGAAAAAAATATGCAAAGATGTCCATTTTTGGCAGCAAAATAGTTTATCATTTAATTCAATTTTCCATAAACTTTTAAAAATACTCATATTTAAGACAGTTTTAACTTTTGGCACAGTAAGTCTGCCATCTTGGGGACAATTTTGTTTAATTTTGTCATTTGAGTGGGCCATATTTCCTGTTTCTTTGTATTTTTTATGATTTTTTTTGGTGAACATTTGAATCTATAATATGGTAATTGTAGAAATGAGACTTTCACTTTCCCAGGGTTTTCTGGATTTTTACTCTTTGGTCTCTCTGCTGGGTTTGTTTGTGTCCTTGTGACGGGGATTTGGGCTGGCGTTTAAACCTCGGGTCTTCTTTGCTCCTGTGCCTCTCTCTCAGCGTGTGGTGACTGTAGAAATCCCCCTGCATATGTGGGTGCTTCTGAGTGTCTTGCCCCTTAACTGGCTCCCAAAAAGGGAAAAATAGGGGGAAAAAAAGAGCCTAGCTCTTTAAATAACCTGGGTACTACTTGCCGAGAGGGGAGGAGTTTGCAGCCACAGTGGCAAGGATGCCTAAAATATTAAACACACAATCCAAAAAATAAAAAGAAAGGGGGATCTGTGGGGAGCAACTGGGGGCAACTCGGACTAGACTGTTACTGGAATTAAGACTTATTCTATGCATCTGCTCTCCCACAATATGGCTCTGGGAGAGGAGGAAACAGCTTCTACACAGCTGCCTCCAGTTCAACCAATAAACAGCAGGACCTGCTCCTGATTGGAGGAGAGCAGCGTACTCGGCGTGTGGGTAGCAGAGTTGGGATTGGTGGAAGAGGACTATAAAGGAGGAGAGAGACAACATGCACCAGGAACATCTATCTGAAGGAACACCTGAGCAGCCCCCGAGAGAGCCGGCCGGCGGTGTGCCGCTCCCCCACGGAAGTGGGGAAAGTGGCAGGGGGAACCGCCCTTCCACGGAGGTGGAAGGGACGGCAGCCAACCCAGAAAGAACCAGCAGCAAACCCGGGGAGGGCCGAGCAGACAAAAGAACAGCGCAGGGTCCTGTGTCGTTCCTCTGCGAAGAGGGGGAGCGACATAATGGATTGTGTGTTTAATATTTTAGGCAACTATAAAATTGTTTTCCAGAGTGACTACGTCATTTTATATTCCCAACAGCAATGCGTGAGAAATCTAGTTTCATCACATGCTCAATAGCTTTTGGTTTTGTTATTTAAAACATTTTTAGGGACTGACACTGTGACATACCCAGTAAAGCTGCCACCTGCAGTGCCAGCATCCCA